ATTGGAGCTGATGGGGTGATATGTGAGAAACATAATTATTAGGGTCTATTTGTTATTTGCGTATTATTCGGATATTATGTTAGGGTGGTAATTATGAGGGTTTATTCGGTTAGGTTAATTATTCGGGTAGTAAACGGGAAATAGTTGGTTTATATATATGTCATGTTATGTTAGGTCAAGGGCAAGCAATAATACAGAATTGTTCCCAACTCTCTCTCTCTCTCTCACCTAGCCGAACCTTCCTCCCCTCTCTTCACCGTCGGCGGCTCCCTCCCGGGAACCCGACTCTGCCTTTTCTCTCATCCAATTCCCCACTCTTTCTCACCTCAATTCTCAATCTCTAAATCGTTCAATCCCTAAATCGCACGCCTAAATCGCGGCTGGAGCGGGTCAGGGGGCGGCCCCGGGCAGGAGAGACCTGGTTCCGAGTCAGGCTATCCGCCATGGGGCACTCCACGAGCGAAGCACGGGCGCAAAGGTCGCAGGATTGAAGAAGGACAGGGTTCTGGAACCAAGCCTAGCGGCAAGGAAGAATATCAACAGGAGATGGCTGACTGGCCTACTCGGGGAGAAGAATACAAACCCTGAATACCGGCACTATGGACCGGGCCGCCCAATGCAACAGTCAGGTGGTGGCAGGTATGGATACAGCAACCCTCTGTATGATTATGATGATGAGCTGGTGTTCAGAGCTAAACCTCCGGTTATTGAATTTCCGAAATTTGATGGCACGGGGGATGTTGGATTGTGGTTATATGCGGCGGAGCGGTGCTTTAAGAACCACCCGATCAGGGCAGAAAGGAAGGCGCATCTGGCGTCCTTCTATTTGGAAGGGGATGCCCTCCAGAGGTGGGAATGGACCGAACGGGCATATGCGTCAGCAGGCGCGGGAATCTCCTGGGCTCGGTTTCAGGAAGAGCTCCGGTAGAAGTTCGGTAGGGCAGAGGGATGGGCATCGGAGCAGCTGGCCAAGCTGAAGCAGACCGGGTTAGTAGCGGAGTACAGGGCCGAATTCCTGAAGCTGGGGAATCAGTGCAAGGAGATGACGGAAGAGACACTGGTGGGGCTGTGCATGGCCGGGCTGCGACCAGAGCTGGCCACAGCAGTCAAGGTCTTTGAACCTGACTCTCTTCGTGTGGCTTTTAGACTTGCAGGTCGGAAGGAGGAGGAGCTAGCCAGTTGGAGATCATCGGTGGGTAGGATACAGAAGGCCAGTGGCGGAGCAACTAGCGGCGCAGGTGCTGGGACGGTGACACCGTCGGCTATGACGTCGAGCCCACCAGCCGCAGGGGATGCAGCCGGAACCCGATTTCCGGTTAGGGCGCCGCCACGCGGGTTCATGAGACTAACTCAGGCAGAGATGGATCATAAGCGCAGGGATGGGCGTTGCTTCAATTGTGATGAGAGGTACACCGTGGGACATCAGTGCGCCAAGGGGCACTTAATGCTGCTGGTCGGGAATTGGGAAGATGAAGGAGAAGAACTGGAGTTAGGAGCGGAAGGAGGAGAAATGAAGGAGGACGACAAGAAAGATGGCCCACCTTGAGGGCAAGGTGGGTTTCAAGGGGGATGGATTGTGAGAAACATAATTATTAGGGTCTATTTGTTATTTGCGTATTATTCGGATATTATGTTAGGGTGGTAATTATGAGAGTTTAGTCGGTTAGGTTAATTATTCGGGTAGTAAACAGGAAATAGTCGGTTTATATATATGTCATGTTATGTTAGGTCAAGGGCAAGCAATAATATAGAATTTTTCCCAACTCTCTCTCTCTCTCTCTCTCTCTCTCTCTCACCTAGCCTAGCCGAACCTTCCTCCCCTCTCTTCACCGTCGGCGGCTCCCTCCCTGGAACCCGACTCTGCCTTCTCTCTCATCCAATTCCCCACTCTTTCTCACCTAAATTCCCAATCCTTAATTCGTTCAATCCCTAAATCGCACGCCTAGATCCGTGCTTCTCACATGATACGCCAGTGTGCTATGGAGCATGAGATGGGAGGCATTCTGTCTCACTTTTACGAAGAACCTAATGGATGTCACTATGGAGGAAACCACATGGCCCGAAAGGTGTTGCAATCAATCTTCTATTAGCCCTCGCTCTTCAAGTATGCTAATGGATTCGCACTTCAATGCGACCATTTCCAGGAGTCAGGTAACATTTCTGTACAGGATGAGATGCCCCACAAAGCGTTTATCACTTGTGAAATTTTTGATGTTGGGGCATCAATTTCATCAGGCCCTTTCCTCCTTAGTTGGCAATCTGTATATTCTGGTTGATGTGAATTACGTCTCGAGGTGGGTAGAAGCACATGCCATGTCCACCAATAATGCAAGACATGTGTGCAGTTTTTGAAGGAGCCCAGTTCAGGACACCTCGACCCATCATTAGCGATAGAGGAACCCATTTCCAGGATCAATTCAATAAGCTCCTCTCTTGATATGACGTTAAGCACAAAATTTCTATGATTTACCATCCCCACATGAATGGTCAAACTGAGCTAACGAACCGGGAGTTGAAGTGGATTATTGAAAAGACAGTGGATCAATCCCACAAGGATTGGTCTACCAAGCTCGATGATTGGCTTGACTCTAACTACACATCCCAATCGACGGTCAAGCATAAACACCGACCAGGTATATCATAGGGTAAAAAAGGAACATTGATTTTGAGAGATGGTGGGAAGAGTATCACTTTTTCGATTGATCCAAAGGATACATTTGAGAATGTGGATGAGATATAATCGAATGGTTTTATTTTTAGTGGAAGTAACCATTCCAAGGCACACCCACTTGTGCTCCTCGTGTTTGTGATGATGTGAAGCAGGATTCAGAAGCGGGTGTAAAACCTGGAGTTAAAAAGAAGTGGCACCAAAAGATGAATCTTGCCTTGTCTCGCAGGAAGAACAAGGGCAAGGAGAAAGCAAGTGGCCATGAGGGCCATCCTTTGAAAATGGTGATTCGAGGTGACAAGCCTCGCCCTGAGATTGTAATATTGATGGCCTCATGTTCTACTGCATGAAGATTTGTAACATCTAGCTAAGGACATATAAAACAAGTGCTTGTTGAGAGGCAACCCAACGTCGGTTTGTATTACTTTTCTTATTTTTCTCTTTTTGTGTGTGAGTGATAGAGTTAAGTATGTGAGTTTTGAATGATCACTGTGCTGGTATTTTTGCCGATAAATGTGTTGTGTTTGAGTTAGGGGCACAGTTTTTGCACATATAATTTACTTCACTAAAGGGTAGGAATGCCTAAAACCTTCAGCTCCATCATGAAAATTGGCAATCAGAACCAACAAAGAAGAAGATTACTTGCTCAATTAGTGCAAGTTTTTTCCTACATATTGTAATAACTCCAATCATGCCTTTGGCATGAGGATGTGGAAATTAGTGGTGTCGGTGCACCACTAATTTATAAAGTTCAAGTAACCCTACTCAGAAGGTCCTCCAGCCAAACACGAAATCTATAAATGGTTTAAAAATGTTCTATCTCCAGAAAATTTGGGGATCTCCAAAACAACAGACAGCAGGCTCCTCGTAGGGAGATGGAGGAACAAGGGATAAGGTTGGAGGAACAACCCTTCAAGGGAGGACAAGGGATAATGTTGGAGGAGACAACCACCATGGGCGAAGCCAGCTTAGTGGAACAAACTGTACCATGAACAACTGGGTGTAGGGAAACATGTTAATCAGAATAGAGATGTAGGGTTAGAAAATTCCAACACAGTTTGCCTCAATTATCTGTGCTTCCTTGGTTTTAGCATATCACAGTGGACGTGCAAGCAAAAGAAGCTCAATTCATAGTCTTCAACAGAAGAAACCCCATTTCAGAGTTGGCTCTCCAGCACACTTTCACACCTTTGCATTTTGTGTTTCGGAAGGCAAGGATGACCGGAAGCTGCACTTTTCTGATATCACCATTGACATAAATCAGGCTAATAGTTGAAGTGCAGAGAAACAGAGGACAGGACAGTAACGAGCATTGGCAACTCAGTTTGTCGGTCAATTCATTCAAAAAGTCACAACAGTAGAGAAGGACAAGGGATTGCGAAAAGAAACATTGCACTTGCCACAAGAAAGTCTCAAATACCCAGAGTAGAGTTGCAGCATAGGCCAGATAACTAGATTTCTATACCCAAGGCAGCCAGCAAACAAGTACAAAGAACCCAAATCCTGCCAGGACTCCATTCTGTTTATTAGCCTAGCTGAAATCAGCAGCTTGCATTCTCGATTGCATTTGTATCCAAGCTAAAGTTCAGACTAACACTAGCAACCAAAGCTCTAGAAGCCATAACTACCATCACAAAGCTCTAGACAAACACAGAATTCTTGCCGCAATCCGATGGAGAAAACAACCAGCGGGCGAAAAGGGTAGAGGAAGGGGCTTACATGTTGACGGCATAGGCATCCCCGACAGCCAAATGTTTGTGGAGTTTAAATGATTCTATCTGAATTTGATGATTGTGGTTTTAGCGAGGAATGTCTGTTAGCATTCATGTAAACTACTAAAGATTAACAACTAGTACCATTAGAGATTTCAAGATTCTTTGTTTCTACCTTTCATCTTGTATGTTTTTATAAAAGCTTGTAGATGGATAGATATAGTGTTGATCATATAATTTTAAGCTGATCATATAATCCATTCCACTCATCGCAAATACAAATTCAAAACCCTGATCAGATGTTCCGAGCAAACAAAAATGGAAGACCCAAGACCGCACGATACTAATCCATGAAGAAAATGATGGTCGCAGCCGCAGAATCGACATCATACAGAGATAAAATCAAGAGAACAGGCAAACTAAGTGGAGAAATGCATCTCAAGCATACTCGGCCCAGTAGAGCCAAACATAATCACGGAATCTTAACATAGGTGGATACACAAAGGTATGGATGAAAGTAAGCTTAGGAAATAAAAAAAAACGCATACCACAAGAAGTTAAAAGTTCCTAACAAGTCGAGCTCCGGCCTCGTAGGACGGCCAGCTTCTTCCGCAGAAGAATCAGCGGGAGGGGGGACCGACGTATTCCAGCAGCTGCCTGGTGATCTCGTTGGTATACTGCTGGAGGATTTCGACCCCGGGGGAAGTAGAGTCGCTGGAGCCGTGGATGGTGTCGAAGGCTTCCTTCTCGATCAGGCGAGCGGCGTCTTCGACCTCAGCGGCTGAAATCGCACCGTAGCGCTTGGAGACAACGGAGCCAGGGGACAATGTATCCATTAAGCGATAAATCACGGCGTCGCGTGTGCGCTGCGAAGGGGGCCAAATGCTCAACATCTTGAATCCCGTTTGCTTCGGCGGCGGGGTTGAGACGGTTTCTTCTGCCGGGATAGCGGTGACGGTTGAGTCGGAGTCGGTCATTTTTCCTTCGGAAGGGGGAGCGATGACGGATGCGTCGGAGTCGGTCATTTCTACAGAGTGGCGAAAACTGTTCTAGAGCGTTCAGAGAGAGCCGAAGTAGAAATAGGGTTTCTGAGGAAAATATCAATGTGTCACCCGGAGCTAATTTCACCCAATTGCTATCATATATAATAAGGGTGAATTGTATGTTTGGTCACTAAATTATTTTTCGTTTCCCATTAAAATATTTTATTTCATTCTTGGTCATAAAGATTAGGGGTGTTCAAACGGTTTGGTTACCATGGTAACCGTTTTAACCGGTATTATTTGGATAATTTGGTTTGGTTAATTTGGATAATTGGTTTGGTTTGGTTAAAGTTTTTAGCTTGTTTGGTTTATGTGGTTTGGTTTGGTTTCAGACACTCCTAACGAGTCAAACCAAATTAACCAGTTAAATAATTAGCCATATATCTAACACATACTTAATACTTTGCATAACCACTCAAGAGTTAACGTTCATCCCTTTTAGACTCATAAAATATAAAGCTCAATATTGCTCATATAGTGTATATTTGTATATGTAAAATGTAGACCACAACATATGGACGCCTAATTTAGATAAATTTCATACATTATGATGAATGAAAACTTGAAAGGAATGTCATTTTCAGCCTATGATAATTGCTAAGAGACTAAGTCAATTTACATAAACACAGCAATTCATTAACCCATACCATTGTCATAAATTTTTGTTAGGTGAATACTTCCATACTAATCGTAAGATAATTGTCTTAGTTGCATGTATTTTTTTAAGGGTCAACTATAACTACGAGTTGATTGTTATGTTTTATTCATTATATAAATTGCAAATTGTTGCATTAACCGGAAAATTTTCATCGTCAATGATAATGTGATTTTATATTGGTTAATCTGGTTAACCAATTAACCAAACCGATTAAACTTTAGTTTGGTTAATCTGGTTAACCAATTAACCAAACCGATTAAACTTTAGTTTGGTTAATCTGGTTAACCAATTAACCAAACCGATTAAACTTTAGTTTGGTTAATTTGGTTGTTGTATTAGTTTGGACGGTTTGGTTATGATATTGTATTATATGGTTAATGGTATTTAGCCTTATTTGGTTTGGTTATAACTGTACATGGGCGTTGGGCCGTGCTTGGGCCGGCACGGCACGGGCGCGCTTCGGGCCCATTTATTTAGTGTCGTGCTTGGCACGGCCCGTCAGTTTTCGTGTCGTGCCATGCAAGCCCATTTGTTAACTTTGCTAGGCCCGGCCCAGGCCCGGGCACGGTTCGAATCGTGTCGTGCCTATTCGTGCTTGTGTCATGCTCGTATTCGTGTTTAATGAAAAAGACGAAAACAAAAGAGATAATGAAATAGAAGGTGAAAATAGGACGGAGGAAGATAGTATTAACCGATAATGTTTGAGAAAAGTAACAAATAAGGGGGGAAAGAAAACTGGAAGTATAGCAAGTGTGATTTGGCTTTGTTTAATTCTTTGTCCATTTTTACTTATGTTAGTAATTACATATATATCTTTATGACATTTCTAACAACAACAAATAATTATTTTTCTCCTTATGTTTTGTAATATTTGAACCTATAATTCTTTTTATATTTATTTTCTATAAAATAAATATTATTTTTGTGCCATGTCCGTTCTTATACTCAAGAAAGTCTCAAAAATATTAGGCCCGACACGACTCACTTATATACCGCGTCGTGCCCGTGCTCGTGCCCGTGCCCATGAAGTTTAGGCCCGGCACGGCCCATAAAGTATTCGTGCTCGTGCCGAGCTGGCCCATTTATTTCGTGCCCGTGCTCGTGCCGTGTTCTAACCGTGTCGTGCCGTGCTAGCCCGTGGGCGGCACGGCCCGGTGCCCACATACAGTTATAACCATGGTAACCATTTAAACACCCCTAATAAAGATTAGTCCAATAGTCCAATTTAGGTCATTGGTCGTTACCTTCCCTTAGTCTTTGTAAACATCGTCAGTTTTATATTGACGTAGCTAACATAAATGTCTAGTCTTCCAATTTTAACCCAAATAAATTAAAATTGACCTGCCACGTCATTGGGTCAGCTAGTCCCAACATGCGACCCGCCCCAGCTCTCTTCTCTAACCTAATTAAGGATCACCACTCATACAGAGGAGTGAGGCGATTGGTTCGTCGGCTCTGCCTACTCAACTCCTCTCTCCACACAATCACTACAAATAGAGTTTGTGAACTCTATTGTGAATGAGTATTGTGATTCATATATTGATTGATGTATTTTCATGCAAATTGGGTGTTATTGATCAAATCTTCCAATTTTGGCGCAATTGACCTAGGAGGGAGAAAATCCCATTAACTATATTTCGGGTCACTGCTAAATCATCATAGAGTGTCATGAATTGTTGTGATTAGTGACTCTACGACATTCTGGGTTAATCTCGAGGGAGTAGAATCGGTTCCCTTAGTCGTTTTTTGCGCGTATGAGGTACGTCCCTCCGATTAGATCGATTAAGCGGGCTAGGATGCACTTGAATACGGGGTCCTAGCTACCTTAGCACTCCGAACGGTATAAAGCTTACCTATCTCATTAGAGTATCACAATAGCATCTCAACACGGGGCTAGGGGGAATATTGTCTGAGTGAACTTTTCTCGATTGAATTCAACATCGTTTTAATCGCTTACTTGTATAGCTTATTTGCTTTAACAACAATTTGATTGCTAGATAACTTATAGACGGTTGAAGTAAGGGTACATAGATCGCCCGGGTTGACATTTGAAATACTTACTTTGTGCTACACCCGGTTATAGGTTGCACTTGGCCTATAATTGGGATTTAGTTGTTGTGGTAGTGACTCGCTCCTAACTACACAATTAATCGCGACTACAGGCCAAGTGCAACCTATAGTAGGGTGTAGGATAGGGCAAGTATTTAAATGCCAACCGGTGGCGGTCCATGTACCACTACTTCAATCGTTTAAAATGTTATCTAGTGAACTTTTGAGTTAAAACTAAGGTAACTACAAAGCGATCAAACAAGCAGATTAAAGTGTGTGAATTCAATTTCAGAAAGCTTCACCCCGCATATTGTTCCCGCTAGTCTCGTGTCAAGATCAACCGAATGGAACTCTAGTGTGGTGAGTGTGATTATATAACGTGAGTAGGATGCAATTAGTAGGGAAACCCAACTCTCTTAATCGATTAATCAAGGATTGTCACAATAAGATAGGAAGCTAGCTCTCTTAACTAATCGACTAAGGATTCCAAAGACCCATCCCTCGGAAGCTAATTCAGAACGCGCGAAGAGTAACCAGTCACGATGAATTCATGGCACTAATCCGATGTTTGAGGCTTGCCCTTAATTTCCAGATGGGGTTACCCAATTGGCTGAGATATCTAACTTCTTATGGACCAAAGGGGGATTTCCTCCACCTATGTCAATTTGACCTAACATTGAGATATGAAGAACAACACCCAAAACCCACGAATAATACCTCAAACATTATATTATTATTAATCACAAGCCCAACACAGAAAGAGTTCAATTCTTACAATCTAACGCATCCTAGTTTCCAATATTCAGGTGAAATGGGAGAACTACTCCATATCTAGGAAGGGAAAAACAACAAAGATGGAAGAAACAACCATAGTGAGATGATCTTCCTTTCTTCTAGCTGCTTGATTCACCTTGTGGAGAATGTTGGAAGAAATTGGTGCTTGATTTCGGACACCAAAGAGTCTGCTTAGAAATGGTAAGTCTCTGTCTTCAGAGGAGCTTGTTTTGACAGCTAGCTTTTGGAGCCTACTTTCCAGAATCAAAGGAGTCGACTCAACAGACAGTTTTTCCTGCTATTATATAAAGGAAATTGACTCGTTGTATTTGGGTAACTTTGATGAAGCTGATAGAAAGAAGCGGTATAGGGCTTTGGGATCAAAGGGCTTGTCTGAATCAGGGGTATAGGTTCTGATTAGACAAGGTTGTAAGGAAACTAAGTGATTGTGGGTTTGGAGTCATGGCTGTCATTATGCTGCATTTTTACTCTTTGTTTGTTCTCTAATAAACTCTCCTGAAGACAGGAGATGCTGATCTTTGGGATGTGGACGTAGCCATTGCACTGGGTGAACCACATTAAAAAACATCGTGTCTCTTTTACTTTCCTTCAATTTCAATTCTGCCATTTCATTTTCTTCCTTAGCGTTTGCTCTGTTTTTGTTGATTCCTATGTTTTCCTGAAGAATAGTCTAAGAGAAAGAAGAAGGGTAAACAGTTTGGATGTTTGAGCAGTAGGCTAGGCCTGCTTATCCCTGAATTTTTCTTAGGCTCGTTTCTTTGTACGTTTAGTTTATTAAGTTTAGCATAGACTTTTTGTGTTAAGGCCCAACAAAAGTAGTAAGATAGAAAGCATTCATCTGCTTGTCTGTCTTCTTCTTTTACTCTTTTCCATTTCAGTTGAGTTCTTTCTTTCCTTTTTTCTGTAAAATCCCTAGAAATCCATATCGATCTCTTTTACAATTGGTATCAGAGCCTGCCCTTGAGGAGGTTCATCACTACCAAGGTTAAATAGATCCATGGTGACGAATTCTCACTCCACCTTTGGTCCTACCTCGCACAACAATCCTCTATGGTTCACTAGGTCGAATTACAAGGTCTCGAAAAAGCGTATGAAGACCTTCGTGTGGGGAATTGATACGGAACTGTGGGGAATCATTCGAGATTAACCAAGGGAGACAGATATGAATCGGCAAAATGAATGGATGGATGCGCAAAAGAAAATTGCTCAGCTAAACTGCAGAGCGATGCATATCTTGCAGACCGCAATGTCACCAGACGAAGTAAGTTCGAACATCAAGGTGACCATATCGTTCTTCTTATGGACCAAAGGGGGATTTCTTCCACGTAGGTCAATTTGACCTAACATTGAGATATGAAGAACAACACCCAAATTCCATGAATAATACCTCAAACATTATATTAATCACAAGCCCAACACACAAAAAGTTCAATTCTTACAATCTAACACATCCTAGACTAGGGTTTCCAATATCTAGCTGAAATGGGAGAACTACTCAATAGCTAGGAAGGAAAAAACAACGAAGATGGAAGAAACAACCATGGTGAGATGGTCTTCCTTTCTTCTAGCTGCTCGATTCACCTTGTGGAGAATGTTGGAAGAAATTGGTGCTTGATTTTGGACACCAAAGAATCTGCTCAGACATGGTAAGTGTCCGTCTTCAGATGAGTCCGTTTCAACGACTAGCTTTTGGAGCCTACTTTCCGGAATCAAAGGAGTCGACTCAACGGACAGTTTTTTCAGCTATTATATATAGGAAATTGACTCGTTGTATTAAGGTAACTTTGATCAGGCTGATATAAAGGCTTAATTGCAAGTTTGGTCACTCGAATTGCTACAAAATTTCACGTTTGCCACTCAAATTAATTTATTTCATTTATAGTCACTTAAATTAGGTTAACAGTCCAAGTTTGGTCACTGGCCGTTAGTCTCCGTTAACTTATGTTGATGTGGCGGTCAACTCTTATAGTTGACCGTTAAATGCATGACGTGGCAATTAAAAAATTAAAAAAAATAATTTAAATTAATTATTTTTATTTTCCACCTAATTATTATAAAAATAAAAAAATCCTAATTCCTTTTAATTATTATTTTCCACCGCCCGTCGCCGTTCCTCTCCTCTCAGGTCGACGACCTCTCCCGGCCGGCCAAGCCCGCACCATCATCGTCTTGGGCCTCCTGAATTCCGCCCGTGGCCGACCCCCCACCACCGCTGCTTTTGCTACTCAGCTCTGCCGATTTCGTCGAGTCGATTTCCGTACTCGCCTTGGGAAATTTCTTTGAATATAATATTTCTGGCAATTTTCCACCTCCACCGTCGGCGGGACCAAATATGTCCACGAAAACATCAAATCCTCCAACGTCCTCCTCACTGCCGACCGCGACGCCTGCATCTCCGACGTGGGCCTAGCTCCGTTGATAAACTTCCCGGCCACCATGGGGTACAGAGCTCCGGAGGTGATCGAGCCCGGAAACCCAACCATAAATCCGATGTCTACAGCTTCGACGTCGCTGCTGGAAGCCCTGACGGGGAAAGCTCCGATGAGAGGTCCCCTTAGAGGTGGTGTGTACGATGAGGTGGTGGATCTACCGAGGTGGGTGAGGTCGGTGGTGAGGGAGGAGTGGACGACAGAAGTTTTCGATGCAGAGCTAGTGAGCAGCCAGAGCATGGAGGAAGATATGGTGTAGATGCTGCAGATCGCGCTGGCTTCCGTGGCGAAGGCTCCCGAGTTGCGGCCCGCCATGGATGAAGTGGTGAGGTTGATTGAGGAAATTGTTCGACCCAATGGCGCCGCCGTTGAGAGGAAGAGTGAGAGCGAAAACACCAACGGCGACGACAACAATAGGAGGTCGTCTTCCGAGGTTGAGACGAAGCTTCCGTCCAATGTGTCAACGCCGTCGATTGAGTGATCTTCGAAGGAAGGAAATGTGTAGTTGTATGATTTTGGATTTCTTATTGTATGATCAATGAATGTTTGGCGAGAGGTGGAAAATTCCCGATTTTCCTCTGTTCATTATTACTAAGCTCCGAACTCCCCCCAAATCAAGGTTTTCTTCCTCTGTTTCTTCTCCCGAAATGAAGCATGTGATTATTTCTTCAATTAAGAAGCCATCATCGGAGCCTCCGACTCGACGACCGTCGCCGCCTCATGAGAGTGGAGCTCAGCCCAACGAGTAGCCAAGTTGGTATCACTCCAAAAGACCGAAATTCTCGGGGCCACTGCCGCCGCCGAATTTGGCACTCCATCGATCGTTAAACGACTACGCGCCCAACGAAGCCACCGCTTCACCACCTCCTCCTCCGCCACCGCCTACTTCTCCTCCACCACGCGGGGCTTGGCCGGCCGGGAGAGGTCGTCGACCTGAGGGGAGAGGAACGGCTACGGGCGGTGGAAAATAACAATTAAAAGGAATTAGGAATTAGGTTTTTTAAATATTCCACCTAATTATTATTATCACTAAAAAAATAAAAATAGAAACCTAATTCTTCCGAGGAATTACAACAGCAGCAGAGGAGAAAACGGAGAAAAATTGCACACGATTCCGATTGTGCCTCCACCAGCGGCGGAGCCGGAGAGGAGAAGCCGAGGAGATGGAGGACGGAGAGTGACCGGCGGAGCCTCTATACAAAGCTCTCTTAACAATCGAAATGTTGCTTTCTATGAAAGGCAAAGTAGGAAGTTACATAAACAGAGACGAGGCATGGGAGCAGCATGATTGTTTTTAACATTTCTGCTATTACATGGAACCTGTGTGATAATCTGCATTTTGTTTGGTTTTTTATTCTCTCCATCAGAGCGAAAGCCTTCTTTCTTCAGTTGACGAATTTGATGAACCAGTCGAGCATGTTTTGATGTGCTTCCTCAGCACTCCTGACGGATGCCTCATCTTCATCTTTGTACTTAGTAGTCCATCCATGAACAACCCCTCCAAATATCTTCACATATCCTTCAACCTGATGATTGACATGCAATTCAAACGAGTTCCACATGACCAAACCGAAGCGCTTCAGGACGAATCAGCTTTTCCACATCTTATGGAATCATACCTCGGGTTTGGTTGACAGAACTTGTTCAAGTTGCCTGAGAAGCTCAGGTGGAGACAACTTGTCGATTTCAGCACCCAGAACTGCAATTGGTTTCTTCACATCTGCAAAAGCAAAGGAGAGCCATCCAACATATGACAGCTTTTGATGGTAAAAGGTAAAGGGAAAATAGGACAAGAGTTGGATTAGAAGTGTTGATCCAATCCAATCCAATCCAATCTTGATGCAGGTTGAAATTGAATCATTTTGTCTTCCGGCTAGTTCGATTCAATTAGAACCAATTTGGCTCGACATGAATCAAATCATTGTGCACCCCTAATGAAGATAGATTGTTACCCTCGATGTCATCCACGGTGACCTGGGATGGGTGCAGCAAAACTGCAGCTTGAATGACATCAGACTTGGCCAGTTCCACAACCACCTTACCTAAATCCAGAACATTGAATAAGGGCAAGTGTCAGCCTTTAACAAATGGGCAGAAGAATTACACACACCAGAAGGAAAGGCCAGGAAGAATGATCTCTCACCACCCCAGCAAAAACCTGCAGCTCCAACTGCAGACATGCCACTGCTGCTTCTCAGTGCAGCAATCACTTGTTTAGAATCTTCAACAGCTTTCTCCTAATAAACACAAGGTATGTGTGAAAACATGACACGAGGGTCTGTTTTATGAGCAATTGAGTCGAAAAGGGAGAGAACAAAACTGGTCTGTGTGCTTCCTTCCAGACTGAAACAGGCATTTCAGACCCGGGAACGTATGGAGGCTGACCAGAGTCAGGAAGGTGAGGCGGGCGCGAGTGATCGGGGAGGCGAGGTCGATGGATAGGCGGAAGCAGAAGCTGTTTGCGGCGGCGGAGGAGGAGGAGAAGAATAAATCCTCGTCGTCATCGCATCCTCCGCCGGCTGTGGAGAAGCGAATCCGGACGTTGAGTCGGCTGGTTCCTGGCTGCCGGAAGGCGCCGCTGCCGAATATGTTGGAGGAAGTCGGGGATTACATCGCGGCGCTGGAGATGCAGGTGAAAGCAATGGCGGCGGGTGGAGTCGGGGAGGAGAAAGCGGGTTCGGCGGAGGTAGTAGAAGAATTAGGTTTCTATTTTTATTTTTTTTTAGTGATGATAATAATTAGGTGGAATATTTAAAATATAAAATTTTAATTTTTTATTATTTTTTAAGTGCCACGTCACACATTTAACGGTCAACTTTAAGAGTTGACTGCCACATCAGCCAAAGTTAACAGAGTTGGACGGAGAGTGACCGAATTTGAAATGTTTTACTAATTTTAGTGACCATGAATGAAATTAAATATTTTTAGTGACTAAACATGAACGTTTTTAGTATCTCAGTGACCAATCTTGCAATTAACCCTAAAAAATAATTAAATTAAATTATTTCTTAATTTTTTAATCGCCACGTCACTCATTTAACGGTCAACTTTAAGAGTTGACCGCCACATCGACAAAAGTTAACGGAGACTAACGGCCAGTGACCAAACTTGGACTATTAACCTAATTTAAGTGACTATAAATGGAATAAATTAATTTGAGTGGCAAACGTGAAATTTTGTAGCAATTCGAGTGACCAAAGTTGCAATTAAGCCCTGATATAAAGAAGTGGTACTGGTATAGGCCTTTGGAATCAAAGGGCTTGTTTGGACAAGGTTGTAAGGAAACTAAGTGACTCTGGGTTTGGAGTCACGGTTGTCACTTTTCTGCTGCATTTTTACTCTTTGTTTGTTCTCTAATAAACTATCTTGAAGACATCATATGTTGATCGATGGGATCTGGACGTACCCATTGCACTGGGTGAACCACATTAAAAAAACATTGTGTCTCTTTTACTTTCCTGCCATTTCTTTTTCTGCCGTAGCGTTTGCTCTGTTTCTGTTGATTCATCTGTTTCCCTGAAGAACAGTCTAAGAGAAAGAAGAAGAGTAAACAACTTGGTTGTTCGAGCAGTAGGCTAGGCCTGCTTAATCCTGAATTTTCCGAGACTCATTTCTTTGGATGTTTAGTTTATTAAGTGTAGCATGGGCTTTTTGTGTTAAGGCCCAACAGAAGTAGTAAGATAGAAAGCATTCGTCTCCTTGTATGTCTTCTTCCTTTACTCTTTTCCATTTCAGTTGATTTCTTTCTTTCCTTCCTTCTGTAAAATCCCTAGAAATCCATATCGATCTCTTTTACAAATGGTATTAGATACTGCCCCTGAGGAGGTTCATCACTACCAAGGGTAAATCGATCCATGGTGACAAATTCTCACTCCACCTTCGGTTCTACCTCTCACAACAATCCTCTATGGTTCACTGGGTCGAATGACAACGCCTGAAAAAAGAGTATGAAGACCTTCATGTGGGGAATTGATGCGAAACTGTAGGGAATCGTTCGAGATGGACCAGGGGAGATGGATATGAATTGGCAAAATGAATGGACGGTTTCACAAAAGAAAATTGCTCAACTAAACTGCAGAGGATATGCATATCTTGCAGACCTCCATGTCACCAGACGAAATCGACAAGGTCTGCAGGGCAAAATTGTGAAGGAAATCTGGGCAACTCTAGAAGCCACTTACTAAGGAACTTTGAAAATCAAGGAGACACGGATCGTTCTTCTTCTTCATGAGTACGAAGTCTTCGACATGCTCCCAGGTGAGAGTATTCATGAAATGGATTCTCAGCTTATAGGTCTTGCAAATAAGCTAAAGGGGTTAGGCAAAGTTTTTTTTATCTATAGACCTAGTTAGGTAAATCTTGAGATCCCTGCCTAAGGAGTGGCTACCTAATAGAACTGCCATAGAGGAAGCTAAGAATTTAAATACCTTAGCAGTTGACGAATTGATTGGCTCCTATGATGAGTCATAAGCATGTTGTTAGACAAGTTGGAAAAGATGATGATAGACGTAGGAAGAATCTAGCATTTCAATCTCGTTTCAATGAATATGAACATGAAATTTATAGAACAACGCAGAGCTTAGCTTTTAAATCCCGTGCGTGTGAATATGAGTCTGACGAGGAGATATATTTTGAGTTTGAAAGGCGTTTTCCTTGGTTACAAAAAAAATATCAGCGAATGCTAAAATATAAAAATGACCAAAGGCAAAACCCTCAGGAAAATCGTAACAGACTTGGGTCATCAAGTCATGATACAAATTATCATCCTTCAAATGGTTTCAATCGTAATCAGGAGCATAACACTCGATATACTCACTCAAATATATGATCTTTTGATTCTAACAGAACTAATCTTGTTAATTAGATAGTGTATTCGAGACTGTCTTTCCCCATAGCTTGTTCCATAGATTTTTCTTTAGTTTTCAACTTGCTTTCTGGTTTAGTTATTTATTTCCATGTTGACGCATGTCACCACCCTCCAAAGTAGGCGCCGAGCCGACGACATCCTCATTCTCATTCAAAATTCCACGTTGATGCTTGTGACCACCCTTTCGACTTCTCATACCAACTTTCCCATCTTAAATTAGTGTTGACTTTACCTCTTGCAACTGGAAGCTACAAATGACATTTTTCATCTTAAATTAGTTTAACCGAGAACAATCTTTGGACTAAGTTGAGTGACCAATTTATGAATAATTGTTTAACTGTCTACATAAAAAAGATTTGATTTGCAATCTAATGGACAAATGTAATTAAGAAACCTTTCAGAATATGAAAGCTCGTCGCGGTTCACTGTAAAAAATAATGAAATTGGTAAACATTATGAATACATTTTTTATGTTTATTTTAAATTATTTTTTATTAACCACACACATATCCCAAAATCCTGGGTCCGCCACATAAAGATAAAGGAGTTCACATCTTCATACAATCAATTTCAAACTAGCTATATAGAAGAGAAGAAGGGTACCACCATAGATCACGACAACATCTCCTTAACTGCAGACTCTCCTACGAAAGCCAAACTCTTTACTCAAGCAAAGTACAAAGGTTTTTGTGTGTTTCTGCAGGCTAACTAAGTTAATGAGTCATGCCCTCAATTTATAGGAGAAGAATCCGGATACTAGTCTCCTAATTCAACTAGGAAAGGGTCTCCTTCTCCTTGTGGGCTAAGTACTCTTCCCCAGTAAGGTTAGGGTTTAGCGACGGTTTCGTTTTCTTTGTGGGCTGGGCTCCTCTGACCTTGACGATCCTTCCTTGAAATTTGGGCACCTCTTGACCAAGCCTCCTCTAGTGGCAGTTGGACCCGATGTTGGGTCGTCGCTGGTTTCTTCATCAACTTGGGCCGAGCCTTCTTCCTATGGGCTCCTCTTGGGTTTATTAAGTGACTTCTAGTTGACTCCTCTGTCATTGACCTCATATTTATCACGAATGCTCCATATTATTCTCTTTATAGCTTCTTTGGTACTCTAGAGTTCTCCAATGCTTGATCCAATCTTCATTAGGTTGTTTTGTACCTTCAAAACCATAAAAAAAACATACCTAGAAGGCATAAAAAAGTACAAGAGCATAAACTAGGTCTATTAAAGGCTCATTGATCAGATAGTTGTAATATAAAGAGAAAATACTATTGAAATGACTAAAGATGCTTTGATAGAAGAGGAAAATGTATCATGAATGGGAGCGACAAACACCATTTTAACTTTGAAAATTTTTCAAATTTTAACGACTAAACATATAGCACGTAATCAAAGTAAAACATATCAACCATTCACACCCCACACTTTGAAATGGACAATATCCTTAATGGACTAAAAGATAGTGAGGTGTGGTAAATTTGGAATGAATTACGTCGAATATCGTTAAAATCTAAATTCATATTCCATTGTAGCTAGTTCTTCATAATTCATAATTGGTTAGAAGAGACTCAAATTTGTGTAAACAAAAGAAAATTAATACAACCCTAGGGGGTTGTTTGATCAGAATCTACGCAGCCAATGATCAAATCTGAGAATTGATATCCTTGGAATAAGAACTCCCCAAAACAGGTTTGGGTTTGGTGTTTGGATGGAAGGATTTTGTGCAACCTTCACTTGGGAAAGATGCTCGAACTCTACATATTGATGCTTGTCAACCTTCACTTGGATTTTTTTTTTATTGTTTTATAATTACATAATAATTAATATTATTAATTTTTTTCTAATAGTTATCATTAATGTGGAAGTTGTTTGGGGTTGATGGGTTGACTCCCAAAGCAAGCTTGTGAATGTTTGTCTACTCAAATAGATATCTCTTAGTTGACTCAATTTTGCATTAAAATTATATATAAGAAGTGTTTGTAGAAAAAATAGCGACAAACGGTTTGGTTGACTAAGTTTACTTCACTAAATAAATATAGTTTAAAGTTAAATTAGGCATGAGAACCCTGTAGGATGACCAATTACGAGTTGCGTTTCGAGCTTCGAGTTCGCGCGACCAATGGTTATTACTGTTGTGATAATTAATTATTATTTGAGCATTATTACATAATAGTAATTTTTATTAAAGTATATTTATTATTATATAATGATTTTTATTAAATTATATTTATTAATTTGTGATAATATTTTATAAATTTGATAAATCTATTTTATAATAATATAATTACGTACTTTTAACTGTATTTGCATCCCGCTACATTTTCATCCAAACAATAGTTTACCTCTTCACTTATACCCCACCAATTTACACTCTCTGCAATTTACCACTCAAACTACACCCCTCTCAAATTGTAGCGTTGTTGCCAACATAGTGTATATTTTATTGTAGAGAATAGGGCTGGAGTTCGATTTTGTTCGGTTATCAGTTAACCGAACCACCTCCCAAAACTACCGAACATCGATCGAAATAGGGATTTAGGCTTCGGTTATCTCAGTCTTTGGTTAACCGAACTACCTCCAAGATTAAAACCATCTCGTCCAACCTCTGAACAACGACCGAATTTTGGTTATCTCAATTTTCGGTTAGTGGATAATCGACCGGTTTCTGTTGTAATCGCTTCAGTTAACCGCTAACAAAAAACTGATTGTCCAGCCCTAGTAGAGGAATAGTGGTGGCAACGGCTGTGGTAAAAGTGAAAGGAGCAGGAGAAGAGAGTTGTTATTTGAAGCCCTAACTTTATGAATTTATAGCCCTAAATTATATGTAAATTACCTAAATGCCCTTGTTTTAATTATAGGGTTCAAACCCCTTGGGTAGTAAAACCCAATACATTTGAACCTTATTCTCTCCAAAAAGACCATAAAAACCACCCAAAAACTAAAATCAAAACACCATACAATACTAAAATCCATAGCAATATTTTTTATTGGTGAGTGTTCGTCGGATTCAGGTGAGGTCCCCAGAGCAACAACTTTCTTCAATCACAATAGGCATCACAGACCAGTGGTCGGATTGAAGGTAAGATTTTAGGGTTTTTTTTTCTTCTGAAAAATCATACCAGGCGGGTTGAAAATCGGCTCTGACCATGGACCAGGCTGGTCGAAAACGTATCTAACCCACTCGTCATGCATGTTTTCAACATGCCTGCTCCACAGAGAGGCAGATTTTCGACATGCCTGCTCCACGAAGAGGTAGATTTTCGAGATGCTATGTTCAACGACGAGTCTGATTTTTAACCCGTCTGTCCGTCGGTAAGGTAAGATTTTTGACATGCCCTAGTCGAATGTTGTGATATTTTGGACAGTTTTTTTCGGGAAATTTGCCTAGATTATTCTACTACATATGTTCACTAAAAATTGACTTTTGTTTTGCTTATTAGGGGGAGGATTGACCTTGTAGAAGTTAATACTCTTTTCGCCACCATCATCAAATAAAAAGGAGGTAGTTATGAGTGATACAGTAAGTATTCCATTTGTTTGTTTTTTAGTTTACTTATTGAAACATAATTGTTCCATGACTAAATCGTGTATGCTTTTACTGTATATTTTTGTAGGGAGGTTCTGGAGATGATGAGGGTGGCAATAATGATTACACATCATTGTTCACAGAAGACGTTGTTTATGATAGCCAAGACGCTGCTTGTGCAGCGGCAAAGGAAATTGCCCGAATGAATAGCTTTTTCTTGGTTATCACATCAGTTAATCGAAAGGTGCAGAGTAGGCATCCAGGTTGATCAACTGACCACGAGAGTACGAAAGTTGATCGAGGTCGACCCCAAAAGTGACCTTATAGGTCCCAACACCCGACGCTTCTCATCAAGACCTCTTTGGTTCTCTACAACACGTTTTTTTTCCGCTCAGACACTGTAACATTGCGTCCTTCCGTCCTAGACTTTTCCTTGCCCCTTATTCCGCTCATTTTTACCAACTATCAATAAAAAAAATTAGTTTTATAATTATTATCAATCATACTAATTTTTGTAAATTCAAATGCACATTATATAACTATATTACAATCTAATTATGATTAACCATTCAAATGATTAACATTATAATTCCAAAGCATATAAGGCAATGCTAATTATATTACTATAAAACAATTACAATCTAATTATGATTAAAAATCCAAATGATTAACGTTATATTATCAAACCATATAAGACAATGCTAATTATAATTATTAATTCAAATGATTAACAATCTAAAATCATGGAGGCGTTTAATTGTAATTAATAATATAAATGATCAAAATTTAATTATAATTACATATGTAAATTCAAAGCAATTAAAAAAAGAAACAAAATCAGGCTGGTCGGATTTCTGCCCGGCCGTGGAGAGGCAGATAACCTACCTGCCTCGCCCGCGTCCCCGACATAAACCTACCCGATCGTGTCGGGAAGGAGGCCGGTTGAAAATCCGTCGCCAACGAGCAGAGACACCACTAATAAAAAAAGAAGCTTTACCTGAAGGACGACGACGACAAATATGGCTTAGTGGAGGGTTGGAGACGCCACGACTTCAAAGAGAGGAGGGACGGGGACGAGAGAAAGCTGGGCAAGTGGGGAGGCAGGCTTCTTCTTTCTCCTCGACTGGATCTGAATGACGTCGGAGAGAGTTGGGAAAGCTTCTTCTTCTTCCTCGACTGGATGACGTCAGGGAGTTGGGAAAACTTCTTCTTCCTCGACTGGATGACGTCGGGGAGAGTTGGGAAAGCTTCTTCTTTCTCCTCGACTGGATGACGTCGGGGAGAGTTGGGAAAACTTCTTCTTCCTCGACTGGCCGCGGTGGGAGAGAGTGGTTGGCGGCAGGGAGATGCGCGGGGGATGGGAGGTGGCGGATGGCTGGCGGCGATTAGAGCCGGCGGGGAGAGGCAACGGGGGAGGGGAGAGTGGCTGGCGACGGGGAGAGGCAGCGGGGGACAGGAGATGGCTGGCGGCGATTGGAGGAGGCGGGGAGAGTCGTCGGGGAGGTAGATGAAAGAGAAAGGGAAAGGGCGGGTGGGTGGGTGGGTTTTAGGGTTTAGGTTAAATTGAGGGTATAATTGTCTGTTTGGGTAGTTTAGAGCGTCAAATAGCAATTCAGTAGGAGAATGGGGAAGAAAGATGATGTCCGGTGAAGGTCTCATTTATTATTATTATTATTATTATTATTTTAAAAATTATGAGACAAGTATTATTATTTATTTAATGGCATTAAATCTGACAAATTATGTTTAGGTGATAAGTTTACATGTAATTTCGTTAACTTTAACGAAAAGTCGCTATTATTTTAAATTTTTCTTAAAGATTGTGAATAATATTTTGTATTTGTGTAATTACTAATTATTAGCCAAATTTTTTGTAACACATCATAATATTAGCCAATTTTTTTAAATACTAAAGTTTTGAAAAGTTGATATCTTGCAAATCAAAGGCTTGATGTAGATTTTAAAATGGAAAAAGGATTGGATATTTTCCCACAAAACGCTGAGGTAGTGATGACCGAAAGGCTGATGTTAGTCATAAAGGGCTGATATTTTGATGATCAAAACGCTGGCGTACCTCTGTCTATATATAGGTGTCACCGTAAAACCCTCGACATAAATCCCTAAATCCTTTCCGTCTCTCTCGCCGCCGCTCTCCATGGATTCCCATCCTCTGCTGGATGCTATCAAGCTGAAGATCGTCGGTTACAACGATGCGCTTTATCAAGATACTGTAAAAAGAGTAAGAGCTGACCTATTCAATCTCTGCAAAAAGGTAATACTGGACGAGGCAATAGAAGCAGTGAAACAGCGTGGTCTGGACCCAGACCGTAGCCATTTTCGTTCTGCACCTGAGCCGGAAATGCTGTCAGAGGGCCTCCGATTTGCAGGAAAGGTGGTCACTGAAATGGTGAAGAGAGGTACTGTTTCCCAGAGGTTCAAAGATAGATTCGTTGGGGACTACAGGAGGTTCATGATTCGCAACAATGATCAGTTTGCCATCTTCCAGCGAGAATTCAACGGGCTTCATACTTATCTCCAGTAAGTATTTAATTATGCTCGAGAAAAACATGAAAGAAAAATAATTACAATGAGGCCTTTCGGTTATGTGCTGTCTGGTTGGTTTCCGAGAAATTGGTGGGATGGGAATGAGAGGAGAGGTGCAAATTTAGGTCAGTTTCGGTTGAGTTGGACAATTCAGGGGCTTTTTTTTTACTAGTAACCAGGCTGGGTACAAGGAGTAAGGACATATTTGTAGCTTTCCGTAAATGTTTTTCTGGTTCAGTCTCATTAGGTTTGATTAGGCTAGGGAACCTCGGAATTAGATGAGATGCATAATATGCCGAAGTTGTATCTTATATATTTGCAATAATATTTAGGGGCGAGCCCATCTTTGATGCCGAGGGCACCAATTTCACCTTTGAACCTACTTTAACGAGTTGCGATGCTTTGCTGACCAGGGCAATGAGGTAAGGTTGAAAATTTTGTTTTATGAATGAATCTTAGTAGTGGATTATGGCTAAAAGTTGATCTTTGCATTGTTCAACTAGTGAGGACTACAAGGCATTAGTGAATAGTCTAACTTATCTCAGGCACGCCATCGAGCGTGGTGATGTACCGAGGTAATTTGGGTGTTTCATTTGGTGTTTTTATTGAACAACGTTAATACCGATTTGCTATACTCACAATCATGATTTTGCTGTTTTACAGGATGGTAACTAAATCCCAGGCTGTCAAGGATGTTGCTGATGAAATGTCCCGAGAGTTTACAACCTTAGGCAGGGTAACACAAGACGATAAAACCCGAAACACGCTTTATAATTTTTACTGTAATATCAAATCCCATTTTGCTAATATGTATTTTTTTTTTTGTTTGGATTATCATTGCAGCTTACGGGGATCATGGGCTAGTGGCTTTTCTTCCTTCCGTTTTGCTATGGGCTTCAAATCCTAGTTGATTTTCCCTTCGTATCTTCGACGTTTCAAATCTCTAAAAACTAAACAGATCGACAATGCCCATTTGTAAAGCTAGCAATGGGGTCTTAAGCTATTTTCCTCCACCCTTTCAACTGTGGGCTATTTTGTTATGAATATAGCATATATCTTGATACTTGTTATAGTAGGTTTCTCCAACCTATGAGAATGTCCTTGATGCTTCGGTGTGTCATGGTTTGTTCCCTACATTATATTGTTACTTGCATATTGCTTGGGTGGCACTTGGTTGCTATTGGACAAGTCACAGAGTCGGTATGCATAGCGATGATTTTTGAAGCAATTCCGGTATGTTTGGCTGTCCTTGGAGACCTTAGCGTTTGGCCGCGGTTTTGTAGTATGCCATGTAGAGGATCGTGTTTTATCACGATCGCAACCCTAGTTGCATGTTGAAAGGGTGGTTGTGTTATGCAATTTATTTATATTTTATTTAACTAGGATTGATTGTTAGTTAGACGTGGGTAAGTGGGATTAGTGTGTTAGTGGTTTTACTAAAATTAAGGGGAGTGTTATCGGTTAACTCCCTAGTTTTTAGTTAGATTAGCTGTAGGTTTAGTATTTAAGAATGTAGATCCGATTGAAGAAGGGAGAAGAAAAATGTAAAAGACGAGAGTCTTGTTGGAGATTGGCTTTCATCAAAAAAGTTTAGGGGTTCGGTCGTTCTTTCTTTCGGAATCCCATTTGTGCAAAAATGCACGTAACAGGTTGTGAGTAGCGTGTGTGAGTTACCGAAATAATAAGAGGAGAGCTCTTGAAGCTTCATGTTGGCTAGTCTTGTTAACATGCACTATTTTTTTTTTTGTCTAGGTGTTCACATGCACTATTATTGTCCCATCGAAAAGGAAACTCATGTAAATTGTTGTCCGCATTCAAATCGGAAAAAACTCGTTCGAAACTCGGCTCATTTACTAATGAGTCGAGTTTGAGCTTAGTCTTCAGCAGCTTGCGAAGCTCGTGAGCTAGCTCGACTCGGCTGCTTGTTGATATTAACTCGTGAGCTAGCTCGTTAGAGCTAATGAGATGTCTCAACTCTCAACATTGTGACTAGAGAGCCAACTCAATTATCGAGTTATGCGCGAATTGATCAATATGAGTTTAGTTTTGATAATTTATAAAATTGTTAAATTATATATCTTGAAGTTTAACAAGTAGATTATATGAGCAATCATGTCTTATATAATTTAGAAAACAAATTATGTACCATAGATTGTTTCGATACTATGAAATAACATAATTTTCCTTAGTTAAAATTTATAAGATAAATAATTTGATACCAACATGAGATTAGTTAATAATTAACCTTAACTATTATTATTTTCTTCATCTTGACATTAATCACATGTATCATGTATGACATACGAAATGAATATATTAAATACGAGTCAAGATTTTATTAAGCAAGGTATCTCGAACTCAACTTGACTCGCCTCGTTAATAAACGAGCCAAACTCGAGTTTAACTCTTTTATTAACGAGCCAAGTTCAAACTGGGGTAAAACTCGGCTCATTTGCGGCCCTAGTCGTGGGACAGGAATGGTTAAACGACACCAGAAGTTGGGTTGACCATTTGGAGCGGTTTGCACCAATCAGTGCATCACAGATTTATGAGCGCCTACGCCAAATTATTTTTCTTCCTCAAGAAACCCTTTTGGTATCGACTTTCTGCACTCAACTCTGCATTGTGTGAGAACTAAGAATTCCAATCCATGACGCCTCTTCATTTTTTCACGAGTGGAAGTTGTGCTTTTGGTTAAGATCGAACGCGAAGGAGAGGAAATCTTCCGGTTGTTTAACATCCTTGTGGGGCTCGATGAGTCTTTTTCCGTCATCAAGACTCCAGTTTTGTCAATGAAGTGTTTTCAAAAAAAGGTTTTGTCAATGAAGAACATGTCTACCCTGATCGAAGGTTATCAATTGGTTTCTAAAGATGTCTTCTAACAAAAAAATAGCGGCTAGTCATCGCCCTCCTGTGAGAGCTTCAACGTTCTTCTCAAATAACGACAAGCTGGTTCAATAGAAATTCAAGCTTTGAACTTGGTTCCCTCTATACTAAGTTACTACTATCCCAATCCAGAAAAAGTATACTCTAGATTGACCAAGTAGCATAGTGGTGACCTACGTCGCATTCCATCAATTATTGAATCTATTGGTACTTCCAAACTTCTGTTATTATCTAACCGATTGATTGGTTGTTCAATTACTACTAAACATATAAAGAGAAACAAACTTGCAATTAATGGATTGCTCAATAGAAAGAAAGTATTTGGGATTGGGATCTCCCAACTCTATCATGTAATCAAGTGTGAATGGAACTGTTGGGGATCACTATCCAAACACAGGCCCATGCAGCAAGAGTCGGCCCAAGTGGGAGCCGGCCTAGCGGAAACTAAACCACGACGCAAGTCAGCCCAACAGTTAGTGGGTTAGCCGGAGGCGTAAACGCCATGGGAGTCGCGGGCGTACGGGAACGTACGACTGATAAGACAGCGAGAATGCCAATCATGTCTACACTGACATATCATTAAATGCCGCCGTAGGCGTACCCCATAAAGAGACATTAGGAATACGTCTCACAGAGCATTAAAGGCTCACACCAACCGTCACAGACTATAAATACGAACCAACCACCTCATTTAATGGTAACTAATTTCACTCTCTCTACCTATTTTCTATTACTAAATACTGACTTGATCATCGGAGAGTGTCCACGGGCCATGCCCCGGACCTTTTCTGTAGGAAACGTGGGTCCCCGTCTCAAGGAAGTTGTGGTCTTCTCCAAGGTTCCTACAAAACCAGCACTTTTTAGGCATAAACAGGAACTTCCATGTACTTCTAATTATTTATGACACAAGAATCTCTAGATTAACAACTAAGTCAACGGGCACGAACTTATTAGTTGTTACTTCTATGCACAACTACTTGACTTAATGGGCATGTAACCAACAAATCCGTAGAGCACTAGGCTAGATTCTTCAATTGGGAGCTAACCAAATTCACAAACGGGATTACAACTCAATAGCATGCGACGGGAGTTATAAAATGATGCACACTCACTTTTAACCCTAACAACAACATGTGTACCAATGCTACACTTGTAGTAAAGTGGCTTCATTTGTATTATAAGAAAACATTAGGTCTATCACTACTTCGCTCTAAACTACTATCTAATTAAGAACTAAACTAATATAACCAACTAAAACAATCAACTAAGTAGTTGGAAGGTCGCTAGAGATGGGATGTTTGCCTATTTTCGAATCATTCTATTAGTAGTACTGGTTGTTAAGCTCTCCTATATTTATAGGAAAACATAAATCTTGGGTAAGATCGCTGCCTCTTAACTAAGATCACGGTCACGATCTGGAAGAATGATACGCGATCCTTTGATGCAGTCGTTTTGGTCTGAGATGGACAAGAGATCACACCTAGATGTTCGTCGCCACGTACAAGATCTCGAGATCGTGATCTTTCTCGCGGCTTCGACTAAAGGGGAATGCGATCCAACTGTCGAGACTTTCTATTCTCTTTTGGTCACCTCCTACTGAAGTTCAGGGTTGATGGCCCTAAGATCGTGGTCACGATCTTTCTCATTCCAACTGCGATCTTGTGATTGACTTTGCAGGTCGCGTTTCTCGGTCGTGATCTTTGCTCCTCTAGCAACAAACTTTAGTGTTTGCTTCTTTTCCTACACATTAACCTCATTTTCTTGCTTTTTTCGCTTGTTATGTTAGATGCAACCTAAAATGACATGTTATGATAAAAGAAAGCGTTCTAGACTAATGTAGACACCATATTTGTATGGTCTGGAAGCTATCACGAAGACATTGAACTAGATCCAGAAGTGTGGAAAGTAAACTTGGTTCATGGTACCAAATTGCGGAATGACATGGTTTATGGTTTGGGATTCGTGTTAGAGGATATATTCAATGTTCAATGGTAAAGTCGAGAAGAAGATCAATGACGAATTATAAGATCATCACAATGATCAAGAATACAATTTGAAAGTGATAAAATTTTGCTATCTTTAAATGAAGAATCAAGTCCAAGACCGGGCCTAGTTCAAATATCACATCAGGCCAAGTTCCGGGCCACAAGTTGTGCCCAGTTTGAGCCCATGATTTGAGAATGTCGGGTACTCGGGTTTTGGCCTAGACCAATTCGGCCCAGATACGGTCGAGTCCTATCTACGACTACAACCGACTTCAGAGCATGGTAAAGGAAACCGTACCGCACATCATACCGGATTCCTTTCTGGTAGGGTTTTTGTGGTAGGACCGTGGTTCACCGTTTCGTACCAGTAAATACCGTTTTTTGTAATAATAAAATATATTTTTTGTCAAAAAACCGTGTCGGCAAAATCAGAGTACCGTCTTGGAGTAATACCGGATGTATTGGGATATACCAGACAATAAATGAAAAAAATACAAGTAGTTAGCAAATTAATAGAAAAAAGAAGAAATTTTAAACAATAATTATTTTTTATAAAAAAATTTCCAATCATTTAAATATTTAACAAAATGACGGTGGCAAGGGGGTAATTATGCAGAAACATGTGAGTCATTTGGTTATTTTCGGAAATACAATATAACGAGACTCTTGACTGACGTCGCTAACCGCTTGATGGATGTGGTTGTGGCGCCATGAAACCGATATTGATACCGAGATACCCACCCTTTTGACCCATTGCCATTCCTTTTGGTTTGGTAGCATTATGAAAGAAAAAAAGGACCATAGACAATTTCCTTTTTATTATTACATTACCATAGACGATTTCCATTGATCCATTAGCAGTGATTCTAAAATTCAGAAATGATTTAATGACATCAAATGCTCAACAAACAAAAATCAGGAGCCCAATAGAATAGGCCAATAGACCCAAAGTAACTTCACATGAGAAGGCTGACAAACAAAATCATGAGCCCAATTAATTGGCCCATAGGTTTAACATTAGCACCCTCGTTAGTGAACAGTAAAAGTGATTTAGATTTATATATATTAATTAATGATAGTGAGAGGGTGAGCAAGGAACCCTAGCCGCCTCTTCAGTCTTCACCTCGTTCTCTTCTTCCTCTCTCATTCTGCAAGAAAAAAATACCAAGAAACAAAAGCCCAGACCAAGTCCAAACCTTCCATCTTTTATCCCTTTTTTTGTGCATGTCTAACAAAAACGACGGAGGAAGAATAGAACCTTCTTCTCCTTCCTTGCTCGATTTACTCCTCCCATTCTGCCTCTTCTCTCGATTTACTCCGGCAAGTTACATCGTCGATGAGAAATAGAACCAGACCCACCAAATCGACCATAAAAGCGTCGATCTATTTTCGTCTCCTCTTTCTTTGTCGCTTCATCTCCTTCCTCCCTGTTCCTCTATTGATTTACTCGTCCCTGTCTCCAAGAAATCGAATCAGGCCCCTGTGAGCCAAGGACCATACCGCGGCGTTTCGAAACTGGCTAATTTTTTTTCAAT